TTCAAGCATCACTTTAAAAAGTTAAGGTGTCCATTTGTTATTTATGCTGACTTTGAATGTTTAACTGAGGAAGTTGATAAACCAACAGATGAAAGTATTAAAACTTACAACTATCAAGAACATAAACCCTGTGGTTTTATGTTGAATATGGTTAATTCAGTTGATGGTTCTAATTATGAATATTTATATCGAGGAAGTGATGCCGTTAATGTTTTTTGTAGTAAAATTAATGAGATAAGAGAAGACATTAAAGACAAAATGAAAGAAAATAAAGAAATTGATATGAGTGATGAAAATAAGAAAGACTTTAAAAATGCAACTCATTGTTTTATTTGTGGTGACGCGTTTAGATATGATTATAAGAATGAAAAGGAAGCAGAGAAATACAAGAAAGTTCGTGACCATTGCCATTTCACAGGTAAATATAGGGGTTGTGCTCATAGCATTTGTAATTTAAACTTTTGTCATAAATACTTTAAAATACCAGTGTTTTTTCATAATATGAAAAATTATGATGGACATTTAATTATTCAATATGCTGATAAGTTAAGTAATCAGAAGAAAATAGATGTAATAGCACAGAACAGTGAAAAGTTTATTAATATCGGTTTTGATTGCTTAAGTGTTAAGGACAGTTTTAGTTTTATAACTGCTTCTTTAGATAAATTAGTATCATTGACAAAATATGACAACACAGATGATAAAGATAAAAGAAAATGGATAATAAAAGACAACTGGCAGAACAATTTCAGATTTAGAAAAAATAATGATATTATTAAAAGTGAAAAATGTTTGGATTTATTAACAGAGAAGGGAGTTTATCCGTATGACTATATGAATTCAATAGAAAAGTTTGAAGATGAAAGTCTACCAACTAAAGATATGTTTTACAGTAGATTAAGTGAGGATAATATAACGGATGAAGACTATGAAAAAGCAAAAGTAATATGGAAACACTTTAAGATTAAAAACATGGGTGAATATCACGATTTGTATTTGAAAACAGATGTTTTATTATTAACTGATATTTTTGAAAATTTTAGAGATGTATGTATTCAAGATTACGGTTTAGATCCAGTATATTATTACACACTGCCTAATTTTGCTTTTGATGCTATGCTAAAATTAACTGGTGTTGAAATAGATTTAGTTTATGACCAAGATATGTATGAAATGATAGAGACCGGACTTCGTGGTGGGATGACACAGACTGCCTGTAAGAAAGTAGAGGCAAATAATATTTATATGGGCGATGATTTTGATGAAAGCAAAGAAAGTAGTTATATTAACTATTTTGATGCTAATAACTTATATGGATTAGCAATGATACAAAAACTGCCATACAAAAAATTAAAGTGGGATACTAAAATAACAGAAGATGATATTTTAAACTATGCTAATGGTAATACTGGATACATCTTAGAAGTTGATTTAGAATACCCTAAAGAACTGCATGATTTACACAATGACTATCCAATGGCACCTGAAATTATGAATGTTAAAGCAGATATGTTATCAGATAAACAAGTTGAAATTTATGAAATACTGAATAAGAAAAAACCTAAAGATGAAAAAACAAATAAATTAATATTGAATTTAAAAGACAAAGAAAAGTATGTAGTCCATATTAGAACTTTACAGTTTTATTTAAAACACGGATTGAAACTAAAGAAAATACACAGAGCAATAAAATTCAGTCAGAAAGAGATATTAAAACCTTACATTGAATTTAACACTGAGAAAAGAAAGAATGCCAACAATGATTTTGAGAAAGATGTTTACAAATTAATGAATAATGCCGTGTTCGGAAAAACGATGGAAGACAAAAGGAAACACTTAGATTTTGAAATAGTGAGTGATGAAACAAGATTTATGAAATGTGTTAATAATCCATCATTTAAACATAGTCATGTTATCAGCGATAATTTGGTAGGAGTTGAGAAACAAAAAGCACAATTGAAATTAGATAAACCTATATTCATTGGAATGAGTATTTTAGATTTGAGTAAGCAACATATGTATAAGTTTTATTATGATGTTATGAAACCTAAATACGGAGATAATATTAGAATGGTTTATACTGACACTGATAGTTTTGTATTTCATACTAAGACTGATGACATTTATAAAGATCTTCATGATATTAAAGATGAAATGGATTTTTCAGATTATCCTATTTATCATAAATGCTATGATACTACTAATAAAAAGACGTTGGGTAAATTTAAGGATGAATGCAGTAGCAAAATTATTACAGGGTTTATTGGACTTCGTCCTAAGTGTTACGCTTTTCAAATCTATGGAGAAGAAAAAGAACATAAGAAATGCAAGGGCACAGCAAAGCACATAGTGAGGAGGCAACTGACATATAAAGAATATGATAAGGTTTTACAAACTAATGAAGTTATACATAAATCATTCAATAGTATTAGAAGTAAAAACCATAAAATTTATAGTATTAGAACAACAAAGATTAGTTTGAATAGTTGTGAAAATAAAAGATACTGGACTAATACAGGTGATAGTTTAGCATATGGTCATTATTCTATTGAAAATGGAATAATATGATGACATAGTCATCACTGGAGAATTAAAGAGATGATGACTTAATGTAGTAATGAAGATACACGCAGAAATAAAAGAACGAATAGAATTAATAAAAGAAATGATAAAGGTAAAAGAACACTATGAAGGTGAAAGAGATAAATATGCTTTGCTAGATGTTAAATACTTTAAAACTAACAAGAAAGACTTTTATGAAGGGTTTAAATCATGCCTTGAATTAGAGCATGATGAGACGCAGTTGAAAAAAGATTTTAATGAATTAATAAAAACTTGTGAATTAGCAGGTGAAAGTTCCGTAAATTATGTGTTTAGTTTTGACGGAGTGGTCAGAGGATATGAAAGACTTATAGAAATACAAAAACAAAAAATATCTCATGTACTTCGTTAAAAATGACTTAAGGAAATAATGACTCAATATATTATAGTGAAATGTTGTTTAACTATAACAAGTGCGAATTCTGTAAAAATACAAAGAATGATGTTAATATAACATTGTATAAGTTATTACCCGACAATCTATGTAATAAAATAAGTGAATATAATGTATATTGCAATCAATGCTGTATAACAATAGACCTTGAACAGTTTTTTGTTGAAGAACATAAGGATAAGGGATATACAAAGTTTCAATTACAATTAAAATTCTTTATGCGACACCAAGCAAGATTTCCTATACACTTTTACCAGAAGATTTCCAGAAAATCATATGAAAATGAAATTGATGAATTCTTTAATAATATAGATTTAATTAGGAGGTTTGGAGGAATAAACGCAATTAAACCATACAAAGCATTTGTCAAAAAATACCGTTATTTGTTTGAATGGATTGATTGGCATTTATTAGACAAAGGTAAAATAAATGAAGTCTTGAACGGATTTAGAGTAACTGAATATAGTATATGGTATTACTACAACACTAAATATAAAGTATGTCTATTAGTTAATTTGTTTTTCTGGGAATATATTTATTCAATAATAGGAAAAGACAATATTAAATATATAGATGAAGATGATATAGGTAAATATGTAGATTACATATTTGAAGACATATTGCCTGACTATTATTTTAACCCATAAACCTTACAATAAAAATAAATTGTAAGATTTATGATTTGTAATATTTTGTTACTAATTTAAGTTTATATTCATTCTTTGAAAATGACTTAAGGAAATAGTGACTTAATATATTAGTGAAGAAATGAACGGTATTGAAATCAATAAGTATATTAATAAGAAATGCTATGACTGTTGCCACTTTAAAAAGGAAAATATGGAATTGTATAAATTAAACTTACCTAATGGAATAATAAATAATATTATTGATTATGCTTTGGGTGAAGAAGATTTATGTAAAATTTGTAGAAATTGGAGGTTTTATCAAGAATTAATCAAATGTACTTTAAGTATTAAACGATTTAATGAAAGAAATGTTGAAGATGGCATTTTGATATTTTTAACTGTAAATAAATTACCACCTTACGAATATGTTAAACAGTTTCTTAAAATCAGTAAGAAAAAATATGTAATGATTTATGATATATTAAGGATGTTGTGTCATAGTCAAAAGAAAGGAGAAGATATTAAAGAATATATCAAATTTTATATTGAAATTTATAAAAAGTTTAATGTTAAAAATACAGTGAGAGATATTAATATTATTTTTAAAATGATGTATGAAATAAATGAGATTTGTCAATTAAATTATTATCCTGAACTTAAATTATAAATTACACCATAAACCTTACAACTTAATTTTATTGTAAGATTTATGATTTGGATTTATAGATTTAGTTTCAAGGAATATTGATTATATTTTCAAGGACGTTTTACTAGTATAAAGAAAAGCAACATCTTAAAACAAATAAGCATAAACGAAATTTAGAAATGAAACAGGCAGAAGAAAATTAACATTATTTTTATTAATAAATATTTTACATAAAATTGTATAAGGTTAATATGTAGAATAACTTCTTAACCTTATATAATATTTCAATGAAGTAAAATTATTTTCAAGTAATTAGATAAGGTTAATGAATATGAATAATGTATTAACCTTATTTAATATTTGAATTATAAACCTATATTTTATATTTTGGTAAGTTGTTCTGAAAATTATTTACTTCGCTCAAGATATGTTCTTGTATTTTTTTTTGGGGGGGGGTTCGGGTTTGGGTTTGGGTTCGGGCTCGGGCTCGGGTTCGGGTTCGGGTTCGGGTTCGGCCCCTCTTTTTTTTTTTGGGGGGGGGGGGGGTCGGGTTCGGGTTCGGGTTCGGGTTCGGGCCCTTTTTTTTAGGGGGGGGGGGGTTCGGGTTCGGGTTCGGGTTCGGGTTCGGGTGGGGTACCTAATGCAGGTCAGGCAAAATGCTTCGCATAGCCTAAAGCGCATAGCGCGAAAGCGCAAAAAGGCCGCTATGCGCCACTTCAGGCCGGGGATCGAAATGCTGGTCGAAATACCACACCCAAGAGCAGAGAACGCTGCCGTTCTGGCCGAGCACGTTCTGGATGGACTCCACAGCACGGTCCCTTTCCTTGAGGGCATGCTGGTACTTCGGGTCCTGGCAAGTGCAACACCCGCGTGGCCTGGCATGAGTCATGTTGTCCAAAAAGGTTAAAGTCCTGCGACAGGTTGGTCCGCCTTCGCCGTGGCATGCCCGGCCACGGACGCTCCGATTGGCAATGGGCACTTTGAGCCAAATGCACCCAGGCACCTGGCATCACCTGGCATCACATGGCATCACCTGGCATCACCTGGCATCACCTGACATCACCTTGCTGGGAGGCGGGGACAACCGCAAACTGATCTGCCAAGCTGAAACTGAGAACTCCATGGTCGTCCTTTTCAATCAGTGCGCACTGTACGCCCCTGAAGCTTTCAAAGGTCAGAGATGTCCTTAGCAGACTTGCAAACGTCTCATACGCAGCGGCGTTTCGGCTCCAGAAATCCTTAAGCTTAGCAAAGCTGCCCAGCGCCACTCAATCGCTGATGAGCACTTCCACAAATCCGCGGTCACCTGCGCAACGAACCCTTTTCAACGGCACTTGTGACTCCACACAATGTGAATGTCGTGGCATGTTGTGGCATGTTGTGGCAGGTCGTGGCAGGTCGTGGCATGTCGCGACATCGGCAACCCCGCCTGGGTCGGCTTCAACTCGAAGGAGAGAATGAGACTCTCAAGTGAATGGCACTCTCTAGAACTCGTCTACCACTCGACAGCAACACTGCAATTCTTTCGGCGAAGAAGCCACAGGTTTGACTCGTTTCATGCCGTATCCACGTTCGTCTCCAACGATGCTCTTACAAACAACCGGAAGAACATCGTGGAAATCGGACAACTGAGAGGCGCAAAACGAAGGCACATAGGCCGTCCACAAAAACATGAACCACCCTTGCAAACGGAGCAGCAGATCCGCTCAGGCCTCACTCAAGTCAATGAAGCATCTGCTTGCGGCTGGTGTTTGCAAGAATGCATTAGCTTCATGAAGTGCGTGCTTGGATAGCAGAAGTTTGAGAAAGGCCCGAAAACCAGGCAGAGCAGCTCGTCCGGGCATCCAATTTCACGGGCACTTTGGGGGCAGCTTCAAATCCTCGGCCAAACCGGAGGTCGCACCCAAGCAAAGCCACGTCCAGCAAGCTCGCTACAGGATACAAGCCTAGCAGACTACGTGCCGTTTACTGCAACTTGCCAGCCACTTCGCCGACATTCAACATTGTGTGCGGCAAGCGTCCGGACATGGCACAGCCGAAGTCAAACGGGCCTTTGGCTGCAACTACTCGACTACTGCAAATCTTGAAGACTTGGCTCGGCCGCCCCGCGAGCACGGCGCGGATCTTGGGAATGGGCTACCTGGTCTACCAGGCCTTCCCAGCTAAACTTGCCTCACAGACATGCGAAGTTGCTGGGCCAGATGGCGCAACCACATGTGAGCCAGCTCAGCTTGCAGGGCCTGCCACCACGAAGCTGGACGAAGCCGCACGCAAGAATGAGTGCAAAGCAAAGCCCGGGCACAGAATGCTCAAGACTCTCTGGGCACTTGGCAACGAGGCTTGCCCGGACCACTCTCAAAGCGGCCTTCATCCCTGAAGAGCGTCAGCCAAGTAGCCAGGTGGCATCGTCCGGCATTAAGAGTCGCACTTGCGGCCCTTGGGCATCCCTCCGCGTGCGCCGGAGCGACCAGGATGCACAGCTGAGCTAATCCACGTCTTGGCCATGGCAATCGATGGCAAGGAGGGGTTGACAGACTTGGCAGCTCGCCCCCCCACTCTCCACACACGTGGGCTAATTGCCTCGTAGAGGAGGAACAGCTCCAACTCCTCAGCCACCCTATGGACAACCCCCCGGTCCCAGAATGACTTCCTCACAGTCGCCCTGCGCCACTCAAACCGCGCCAGTTTCATGCTGCTCTTCGGCCGCAGCAAGCCAGGGAGGCCCGTCTTACGGTCCTACCCGCCATCACTCGACCTCCCATCATATCTCTCAGCAACGCTTGCAATAGGCCTCAAGGCAAACTTGTCAGAAACCAGTTCTGCTAATGCTACGCTGAAGCCTTGCGCTTCGCAGAATGCAATTCCTACGGAATGTGTAGGTGCGAGTTAGCTTCTTGTTCGCCAATTTGGGAACTGCCTTAATGACCTTTGGCTGCAAGAATGTAGGCACTACAGGCTTTGTGGGTGCTAGAAGCCTCCTGCACCCTGCAAGCGCAAGCATGTTGCACAAGACCCAAGACACCTCAGTATCAACTCTGCATTTGCTTGCCGCGTGGGGGGTACGACCTCTCTTTCCAAGCCCAGAATTCCATAGTTGCCATTGTCCAAACCGTTCAAGCTGCAATGCCGCAAGGACGTCAGCCCAGGTTCCACTATGCAACTTGTATCCTCATTGATAGGACTCCCGGATTGGCAGTCCCCGATCATACATGAGTCTTGGCACTGATGACACCGTGCTTCGGCGGAAAGCCTCTGAGCAACACTTGCGACATCATGTCAGGCACCCTGAGACCGCAAGTCTGCCTGTGCTTCTTTGAAATCGCATGCCTCGCAAGCTGCGATTTCTGCGGTTTGAGCACAGAGCTGGAGCCGCTCCCCTGTTACTCCAACATGACCTGTGGCTAAATGGACCTGACCTGTGACAGCTGCAAAAATTCACCCGTGCGCTGGGAACATGTTCTTGCCTTCTAACAATTGCCGCTTTTGAGAGGGACTTGAGCCTGAGCTCTTCCACACAGATTGCTCCTCTCGAAGCAAGCAAGCCTTCCAATGCCAGTTTGAAAGTAATCGAGCCACCGCAGCTCATTAGCCCAGGTTCTGCCAGAAGACTGGATTCCACATTCAAAGGTTCCTGTGTTCGAAAGTCACTGTGTCACACATGAGGCTTCAAAGATTTGCTGCACAACCACTCGACCTCCCATCATATCTCTCAGCAACGCTTGCAATAGGCCTCAAGGCAAACTTGTCAGAAGCTAGTTCTGCTAATGCTACTCTGAAGCCTTGCGCTTCGCAGAATGCAATTCCTACGGAGTGTGTAGGTGCGAGTTAGTTTCTTGTTCGCCAATTTGGGAACTGCCTTAATGACCTTTGGCTGCAAGAATGTAGGCACTACAGGCTTTGTGGGTGCTAGAAGCCTCCTGCACCCTGCAAGCGCAAGCATGTTGCACAAGACCCAAGACACCTCAGTATCAACTCTGCATTTGTTTGCCGCGTGGGGGGTACGACCTCTCTTTCCAAGCCCAGAATTCCATAGTTGCCATTGTCCAAACCGCTCAAGCTGCAATGCCGCAAGGACGTCAGCCCAGGTTCCACTATGCAACTTGTATCCTCATTGAAAGGACTCCCGGATTGGCAGTCCCCGATCATACATGAGTCTTGGCACTGATGACACCGTGCTTCGGCGGAAAGCCTCTGAGCAACACTTGCGACATCATGTCAGGCACCCTGAGACCGCAAGTCTGCCTGTGCTTCTTTGAAATCGCATGCCTCGCAAGCTGCGATTTCTGCGGTTTGAGCGCATGAGCGTCTTTAAACGCTCACATGCACAGCCATGGCAACACTGCTCTTGCATCAGACATCAACATTACCTCCACGTCATCACATGCGGCCTTCTCGGAAGTGGTGCCCTTGCTGAAACAGTATTTGACAGTTATTCTACTCGAGCCGGCGGCCGAGGCCTGATTCTTCCAGACGGATTCTACCCTTACTCCCTTCTAATGCAAAGTCTGCTGCGCACAAAGCTACGTAACAAAGGCTGTCCTAAGGTGAATCGCGTTGCTTCTGAGAGCTTTGCCAAACCTTGCGTGATGGCGTGATGATCGCTGTCTCATTGGAAGCCGGGACTTGGACGCAAGAGGGAAACGTCACACGGGCCGCGGGCCTGGCACACAGCCACGTGAGCCGCACCTCTCTCGCACAGCATGCACCGCATGCACCGCGTGCACCGCTTGAACCGCATGCACCGAGTGCATCTGCATGTGCATGTACCGTGCGAAAGAGAAACGGGTCGAAACTACGGACGCCGACTGAGCACTTGTCTCAGAACCCTGGCATCTTGGCACGTCTCACTGCATCGCAGAAAGGCCTTTGACGTGTTTTGAGGTTCTGCATTTGGCAAGCCTCAGCCGAGGTGCACAGGCGCCTAGTGAAGCTCCCAGGCGAAGCACCCAGCTTTCAACAAGACCAACATCCGGCAGAACCCCGGCTGGCTTCAGCACAGCCTCCCGTTCGAGCCCCGCAAACTTATTGGGCACTCAACAACTCTCACAACGTCCCACGGCAGCTCGTCCGCGCATCCAATTTCACGGGCACTTTGGGGGCAGCTTCAAATCCTCGGCCAAACCGGAGGTCGCACCCAAGCAAAGCCACGTCCAGCAAGCTCGCTACAGGATACAAGCCTAGCAGACTACGAGCCGTTTACTGAAACTTGCCAGCCACTTCGCCGACATTCAACATTGTGTGCGGCAAGCGTCCGGACATGGCACAGCCGAAGTCAAACGGGCCTTTGGCTGCAACTACTCGACTACTGCAAATCTTGAAGACTTGGCTCGGCCGCCCCACGAGCACGGCGCGGATCTTGGGAATGGGCTACCTGGTCTACCAGGCCTTCCCAGCTAAACTTGCCTCACAGACATGCGAAGTTGCTGGGCCAGATGGCGCAACCACATGTGAGCCAGCTCAGCTTGCAGGGCCTGCCACCACGAAGCTGGACGAAGCCGCACGCAAGAATGAGTGCAAAGCAAAGCCCGGGCACAGAATGCTCAAGACTCTCTGGGCACTTGGCAACGAGGCTTGCCCGGACCACTCTCAAAGCGGCCTTCATCCCTGAAGAGCGTCAGCCAAGTAGCCAGGTGGCATCGTCCGGCGTTAAGAGTCGCACTTGCGGCCCTGTCATCGGCACCTTGGGCATCACTCCACGTGCGCCGGAGCGACCGGGATGCACAGCTGAGCTAATCCACGTCTTGGCCATCGCAATCGATGGCAAGGAGGGGTTGACAGACTTGGCAGCTCGCCCCCCCACTCTCCACACACGTGGGTTGGTGATTACCTTGGCCGACACAGATGTCTGCATTCAAAAGCTGCATGCCAAGACATCGAACGTGATATCAGGCATGTCACGACGGACCCCTTCAAGAGAAGCTCGAACGAACCAACAGAGTGTGAGAGAGGAAGTTCTAAAGCCACACCAGTCAAATCTGTCAATTGCTCGCCAACGGGCCTGGCACGCATCGACAAAGCTGCAGCGCACAGCTGGCCCCGCTCACAAGTTGCAGCTGACTGCCTTCACGAAACACGCTCCAGCAACGCGTGCCCTCCGGCAGGCCAGGACATCACTGGCTGGAGCCTCGGCTGGAGCTACATTCAACACACTCCAACAAGTCAAGGACTCTCCACCTCAACATGGACAGCACATCGAGGGCAGCCACTTCGCCGACATTCAACATTGTGTGCGGCAAGCGTCCGGACATGGCACAGCCGAAGTCAAACGGGCCTTTGGCTGCAACTACTCGACTACTGCAAATCTTGAAGACTTGGCTCGGCCGCCCCGCGAGCACGGCGCGGATCTTGGGAATGGGCCACCTGGTCTACCAGGCCTTCCCAGCTAAACTTGCCTCACAGACATGCGAAGTTGCTGGGCCAGATGGCGCAACCACATGTGAGCCAGCTCAGCTTGCAGGGCCTGCCACCACGAAGCTGGACGAAGCCGCACGCAAGAATGAGTGCAAAGCAAAGCCCGGGCACAGAATGCTCAAGACTCTCTGGGCACTTGGCAACGAGGCTTGCCCGGACCACTCTCAAAGCGGCCTTCATCCCTGAAGAGCGTCAGCCAAGTAGCCAGGTGGCATCGTCCGGCATTAAGAGTCGCACTTGCGGCCCTGTCATCGGCACCTTGGGCATCCCTCCGCGTGCGCCGGAGCGACCGGGATGCACAGCTGAGCTAATCCACGTCTTGGCCATGGCAATCGATGGCAAGGAGGGGTTGACAGACTTGGCAGCTCGCCCCCCCACTCTCCACACACGTGGGCTAATTGCCTCGTAGAGGAGGGACAGCTCCAACTCCTCAGCCACCCTATGGAGAACCCCCCGGTCCCAGAATGACTTCCTCACAGTCGCCTTGCGCCCCTCAAACTCATGCTGCTCTTCGGCCGCAGCAAGCCATAGAGTCCCGTCCTGCGCCCCAACCCACCCTCCGCAAGCGCAAGGCTCACACCGCATTCTGAACCGCTGTTCACGCGTGGCAGCCGTGCCGATGCGAGGATGCTCGCATCGTGGCTCATGAAAGTGAAAGACCAGCAGCCTGTATCAATGGCCTTGGGCTGTGGGGTCTGACCACCAACCCTTCCACATCGCTTGCAAGCAGGCTGGCATCTGAGCAATGCGCCATGATGCACCAGGACCAACCGCTGTGTTGACCTTCACCATGCACTGCCAAGGTGGAGGCCACGAGCTTACAAAACTCTCAATGCATTGATCGTCACAGCTTATGCAGCGCCCGTCACAGCGCATGCTGCAGGGGCCTGCCCGCCCTGCCGCCGTTCACAATGCACCTGTGCAGAGAACATAAGCCGAGCATTCCGGCCTGCGCATCTGGGCTGCGGTCAACAGCGCGCGCAACAGCGCGCCGCGCCAGGCCGCACTGCTCCACAGGGCGCACCGAGACACGCCGCAATGAGACGCCTTGGACCACATCCACAAAGCAAAGTGTCGCAGCCGTGCAGCGGCCCTTGCTGCAATCCCGGTGCCGCGTGGTTCGGCTGCGCCCTCAAGACTGAGCCCTCAATGCCCTGAGTGCCGCATGGCACGCCCTCGCTGCAAGCACCCGGGCACACGCCTCAACCGGGCGAGAGCTGCAAGTTTTACGGCTGAGCGGGGGCACTCTGGCAGCCTGGGCAGCTTCAAACCCTCGGCCTACCCGCAGGTCGCACCAAGCTCGTCGCAAGGTGAAAGTGTACCCTCACCTGAGTGAATCCTATTCCAACCGCAAGCAATCGGCTCGGAGCGCCAGTGCCGCTGGCATACTCGCCAATTGAGCTTGGCATGTCCGGTGATCTTGTTCTCCCGGAAGCTTCACCCACGCAATGCCGTTTGGGTGTCCTGACATGACCCCTATGGGGAGCGGATCCGGCCGACACACTCCAAATGATCCAACAGGCAAAGTACTCTCCATCTCACATCGCTGCAGTCAGGACCCTGGCCGTCACCAGGCACACACCGCGCTTCTGTCTATCTGCATGGGCGCTCAATCCCTGACCAAGCCACTCCAAAGCAAACTCGCGCCCTCCAATCCGTGAAGCGCCAGCATTGCGCGCATTTTTCACACACGTCCCTGGACAACTAAGAATGGCCTTCCGTGCGTTTCTATGGCACAGTGTCGGAAGTGCAGCTCTCTTCCTGTCTCTTACCGGGTCTGCCTATCATGCGCTGGTTCTTAGGCACAACCAATGCTGTGCAGCTGCGTGCACTTGCTCTCCACAACACCAACGTCCAGGCTTGTCTGATTGAAAAGTCCGGGTGAATGACAAAACTGGCACAGCGACGCCCCGTGCATGCATCTCAGCCAGCAAGCAGCCGTTTTCATCTCAGGCAATGCTTGGCAGGCTGGCATCTGAGCAATGCTCCATGATGCACCAGGACCAACCGCTGTGTTGACCTTCACCATGCACTGCCAAGGTGGAGGCCACGTGCTTACAAAACTCTCAATGCATTGATCGTCACAGCTTATGCAGCGCCCGTCACAGCGCATGCTGCAGGGGCCTGCCCGCCCTGCCGCCGTTCACAATGCACCTGTGCAGAGAACATAAGCCGAGCATTCCGGCCTGCGCATCTGGGCTGCGGTCAACAGCGCGCGCAACAGCGCGCCGCGCCAGGCCGCACTGCTCCACAGGGCGCACCGAGACACGCCGCAATGAGACGCCTTGGACCACATCCACAAAGCAAAGTGTCGCAGCCGTGCAGCGGCCCTTGCTGCAATCCCGGTGCCGCGTGGTTCGGCTGCGCCCTCAAGACTGAGCCCTCAATGCCCTGAGTGCCGCATGGCACGCCCTCGCTGCAAGCACCCGGGCACACGCCTCAACCGGGCGAGAGCTGCAAGTTTTACGGCTGAGCGGGGGCACTCTGGCAGCCTGGGCAGCTTCAAACCCTCGGCCTACCCGCAGGTCGCACCAAGCTCGTCGCAAGGTGAAAGTGTACCCTCACCTGAGTGAATCCTATTCCAACCGCAAGCAATCGGCTCGGAGCGCCAGTGCCGCTGGCATACTCGCCAATTGAGCTTGGCATGTCCGGTGATCTTGTTCTCCCCGGAAGCTTCACCCACGCAATGCCGTTTGGGTGTCCTGACATGACCCCTATGGGGAGCGGATCCGGCCGACACACTCCAAATGATCCAACAGGCAAAGTACTCTCCATCTCACATCGCTGCAGTCAGGACCCTGGCCGTCACCAGGCACACACCGCGCTTCTGTCTATCTGCATGGGCGCTCAACATAGAAAAGCTCCTTTATAGCTGCTTGCCATGCACCCTAAATGCCAACCTGTCAGAGTGAGATCAGGTTTGCCTTACATACATGCAAAGGTCGCTGTTGGCGCAAGCCAAGGAACATAGAAGTCATCCTATGTTTCTTCCAGGAGTACATGTGTGTGTGTGAGAGGAAGAGAGAGACGGAGAGATAGGGAGAGATCATTTCACACGCATGACTGCGCTAAGTAGGACTGAATATCATGGTATATAAGCGCTAGCGCTGCACACCGAGATCGGTGATTTCCAAATCATGCCCGCCGCAAGTTGTCATGCCTTGCTCCGTACTGGATCGGAGTTGCTAGGCTTCAGCAAACGCAGAACGCGCGACAGCATGACCACTTTGTGGCACCGAGATCTGTGCAGTGTGCAACTATCGCACCTGTGGGACCCCCAAGACCTTCAGATTCACAGCCCGCGGCAGCCACGGCATGGAACGTATGGAATGTGTGAATGTGACATCACTGAAAAGTGTGGCAGCTACGCAGCCGCCCGCAGCCAGAGATTGCGAGCAAAACATTTGTGGATTCAGGCACAAACCTTTGAGTAGTGAGCACATATACCTCTTGCAGCTGTCATCCACGCAAGCGAGCAAGAATGAGCCCTGAACAGAATTGCAGTCGCAAGCACCCAGGCACACACCTCGACCGGGCCAGGGTTGCCAGTTGTACGTAAACGGCGCGCATCGCTTTGGCAGTTTGATTAGCTTCGACTGGGCCCTGCCGGAGGTCGCACCAAAGCAAAGCCACATCCACCAAGCTCGTGGCAAGAAAGGCCATCCTCACCTGAGAGAATTCTGTGACAACCAACGGCAAGCAATCGGCTCGGAGCACCAGCGGAGCTGGCAGGCTCACAAGTGGACTGCATGACCAAGCCACTCCAGAGCAAACTCGCGCCCTCCAATCCGTGAAGCGCCAGCATTGCGCGCATTTTTCACGCACGTCTCTGGACAACTAAGAATGGCCTTCCGTGCGCTTCTATGGCACAGAGTCGGAAGTGCAGCTCTCTTCCTGTCTCTTCCCGGGTCTGCCTATCATGCGCTGGCTCTTTGGCAGAACCAATGCTGTGCAGCTGCGTGCACTTGCTCTCCACAACGCCAACGTCCAGGCTTGTCTGTTTGAAAAGTCCGGGTGAATGACAAAACTGGCACAGCGACGCCCCGTGCATGCATCCTAGCCAGCAAGCAGCCGTTTTCATCTCAGGCAATGCTTGGCAGGCTGGCATCTGAGCAATGCTGCATGCTGCACGAGGACCAACCGCTGTGTTGACCTTCACCGTGCACTGCCAAGGTGGAGGCCACGTGCTTACAAAACTCTCAATGCATTGATCGTCACAGCTTATGCAGCGCCCGTCACAGCGCATGCTGCAGGGGCCGCCGTTCACAATGCACCTGTGCAGAGAACATAAGCCGAGCATTCCGGCCTGCGCATCTGGGCTGCGGTCAACAGCGCGCGCAACAGTGCGCCGCGCCGCGCGGCGCCGGGCCGCACTGCTCCACAGGGCGCACCGAGACACGCCGCAATGAGACGCCTTGGACCACATCCACAAAGCAAAGTGTCGCAGCCGTGCAGCGGCCCTTGCTGCAATCCCGGTGCCGCGTGGTTCGGCTGCGCCCTCAAGACTGAGCCCTCAATGCCCTGAGTGCCGCATGGCACGCCCTCGCTGCAAGCACCCGGGCACACGCCTCAACCGGGCGAGAGCTGCAAGTTTTACGGCTGAGCGGGGGCACTCTGGCAGCCTGGGCAGCTTCAAACCCTCGGCCTACCCGCAGGTCGCACCAAGCTCGTCGCAAGGTGAAAGTGTACCCTCACCTGAGTGAATCCTATTCCAACCGCAAGCAATCGGCTCGGAGCGCCAGTGCCGCTGCCTCCAAACGGTGGTGCGCATTTTTCACGCACGTCTCTGGACAAACTAAGAATGGCCTTCGGTGCGTTTCTATGGCACAGTGTCAGAAGTGCAGCTCTCTTCCTGTCTCTTACCGGGTCTGCCTATCATGCGCTGGCTCTTTGGCAGAACCAATGCTGTGCAGCTGCGTGCACTTGCTCTCCACAACGCCAACGTCCAGGCTTGTCTGTTTGAAAAGTCCGGGTGAATGACAAAACTGGCACAGCGACGCCCCGTGCATGCATCTTAGCCAGAAAGCAGTCGTTTTCATCTCAGGCAATGCTTGGTAGGCTGGCATCTGAGCAATGCTCAATGATGCACGAGGACCAACCGCTGTGTTGACCTTCACCATGCACTGCCAAGGTAGAGGCCACGTGCTTACAAAACTCTCAATGCATTGATCGTCACAGCTTATGCAGCGCCCGTCACAGCGCATGCTGCAGGGGCCTGCCCGCCCTGCCGCCGTTCACAATGCACCTGTGCAGAGAACATAAGCCGAGCATTCCGGCCTGCGCATCTGGGCTGCGGTCAACAGCGCGCGCAACAGTGCGCCGCGCCGCGCGGCGCCGGGCCGCACTGCTCCACAGGGCGCACCGAGACACGCCGCAATGAGACGCCTTGGACCACATCCACAAAGCAAAGTGTCGCAGCCGTGCAGCGACCCTTGCTGCAATCCCGGTGCCGCGTGGTTCGGCTGCGCCCTCAAGACTGAGCCCTCAATGCCCTGAGTGCCGCATGGCACGCCCTCGCTGCAAGCACCCGGGCACACGCCTCAACCGGGCGAGAGCTGCAAGTTTTACGGCTGAGCGGGGGCACTCTGGCAGCCTGGGCAGCTTCAAACCCTCGGCCTACCCGCAGGTCGCACCAAGCTCGTCGCAAGGTGAAAGTGTACCCTCACCTGAGTGAATCCTATTCCAGCCGCAAGCAATCGGCTCGGAGCGCCAGTGCCGCTGCCTCCAAACGGTGGTGCGCATTTTTCACGCACGTCTCTGGACAACTAAGAATGGCCTTCCGTGCGCTTCTATGGCACAGTGTCGGAAGTGCAGCTCTCTTCCTGTCTCTTCCCGGGTCTGCCTATCGTGCGCTGGCTCTTTGGCAGAACCAATGCTGTGCAGCTGCGTGCACTTGCTCTCCACAACGCCAACGTCCAGGCTTGTCTGATTGAAAAGTCCGGGTGAATGACAAAACTGGCACAGCAACGCCCCGTGCATGCATCCTAGCCAGCAAGCAGCCGCTTTCATCTCAGGCAATGCTTGGCAGGCTGGCATCTGAGCAATGCTGCATGCTGCACGAGGACCAACCGCTGTGTTGACCTTCACCGTGCACTGCCAAGGTGGAGGCCACGTGCTTACAAAACTCTCAATGCATTGATCGTCACAGCTTATGCAGCGCCCGTCACAGCGCATGCTGCAGGGGCCTGCCCGCCCTGCCGCCGTTCACAATGCACCTGTGCAGAGAACATAAGCCGAGCATTCCGGCCTGCGCATCTGGGCTGCGGTCAACAGCGCGCGCAACAGTGCGCCGCGCCGCGCGGCGCCGGGCCGCACTGCTCCACAGGGCGCACCGAGACATGCCGCAATGAGACGCCTTGGACCACATCCACAAAGCAAAGTGTCGCAGCCGTGCAGCGGCCCTTGCTGCAATCCCGGTGCTGCGTGGTTCGGCTGCGCCCTCAAGACTGAGCCCTCAATGCCCTGAGTGCCGCATGGCACGCCCTCGCTGCAAGCACCCGGGCACACGCCTCAACCGGGCGAGAGCTGCAAGTTTTACGGCTGAGCGGGGGCACTCTGGCAGCCTGGGCAGCTTCAAACCCTCGGCCTACCCGCAGGTCGCACCAAGCTCGTCGCAAGGTGAAAGTGTACCCTCACCTGAGTGAATCCTATACCAGCCGCAAGCAATCGGCTCGGAACGCCAGTGCCGCTGCCTCCAAACGGTGGTGCTCATTTTTCACGCACGTCTCTGGACAAACTAAGAATGGCCTTCGGTGCGTTTCTATGGCACAGTGTCAGAAGTGCAGCTCTCTTCCTGTCTCTTACCGGGTCTGCCTATCATGCGCTGGTTCTTAGGCACAACCAATGCTGTGCAGCTGCGTGCACTTGCTCTCCACAACGCCAACGTCCAGGCTTGTCTGATTGAAAAGTCCGGGTGAATAACAAAACTGGCACAGCGACGCCCCGTGCATGCATCCTAGCCAGCAAGCAGCCGCTTTCATCTCAGGCAATGCTTGGCAGGCTGGCATCTGAGCAATGCTGCATGCTGCACGAGGACCAACCGCTGTGTTGACCTTGACCATGCACTGCCAAGGCGCCGTTTACTGCAACTTGCCAGCCACTTCGCCGACATTCAACATTGTGTGCGGCAAGCGTCCGGACATGGCACAGCCGAAGTCAAACGGGCCTTTGGCTGCAACTACTCGACTACTGCAAATCTTGAAGACCTGGCTCGGCCGCCCCGCGAGCACGGCGCGGATCTTGGGAATGGGCTACCTGGTCTACCAGGCCTTCCCAGCTAAACTTGCCTCACAGACATGCGAAGTTGCTGGGCCAGATGGCGCAACCACATGTGAGCCAGCTCAGCTTGCAGGGCCTGCCACCACGAAGCTGGACGAAGCCGCACGCAAGAATCCGTGCAAAGCAAAGCCCGGGCACAGAATGCTCAAGACTCTCTGGGCACTTGGCAACGAGGCTTGCCCGGACCACTCTCAAAGCGGCCTTCATCCCTGAAGAGCGTCAGCCAAGTAGCCAGGTGGCATCGTCCGGCATTAAGAGTCGCACTTGCGGCCCTGTCATCGGCACCTTGGGCATCCCTCCGCGTGCGCCGGAGCGACCGGGATGCACAGCTGAGCTAATCCACGTCTTGGCCATGGCAATCGATGGCAAGGAGGGGTTGACAGACTTGGCAGCTCGCCCCCCCACTCTCCACACACGTGGGCTAATTGCCTCGTAGAGGAGGAACAGCTCCAACTCCTCAGCCACCCTATGGACAACCCCCCGGTCCCAGAATGACTTCCTCACAGTCGCCTTGCGCCCCTCAAACTGCGCCAGTTTCATGCTGCTCTTCGGCCGCAGCAAGCCATAGAGTCCCGTCCTGCGCCCCAACCCACCCTCCGCAAGCGCAAGGCTGATGCAAACATGCGATGCGTCTGCAATTCAAGCAGGGCTCGGCTTGATATGCACTCAGCAACACATTGTGGACAACAGTAGACTCGTCAGTTTGATGCAGTGCTCCGATTCGGCAACTTCCTACCGTCTGTACGACTGATATTTTGTTTGGAACAGCCGAACTCATAATTCGCAATATTGCCGTCGGGCAGGTTCCGACAGGACCAACTTCGCTTGCTTAAGGCCCGCCTGACGTCTCTTGGCTGCCGGGCCAAATGAGGTAGAGGCCACGCGCCGCTTGCCCTCTCTGTGTATTGACGCTCTGCACATTGATGGTCACAGCTGAAGTGACCATCACACAGCCCGGGCGTGGGGTAGCGGGACACGCGGGGATGGTTTAGACCCCATCCGTGCTGAGCGCTGCCTTGGGGCGGGCCTTGCGGCGGGCCTTGCGGCGGGCCTTGCTGCAACTTCAGCACGTGGCTGCCCGCCTTCAATGCCCTGAAGCTTCCCTGAAAAGCTGGCAGGCTGGCATCTGAGCAATGCTGCATGCTGCACGAGGACCAACCGCTGTGTTGACCTTCACCATGCACTGCCAAGGTAGAGGCCACGTGCAGCTTACAAAACTCTCCATGCATTCATCCTCACAGCTTATGCAGCGCCCGTCACAGCGCACACTGCAAAAAACCCGCCCTGCCACCGTTCACAATGCACCTGTGCAGAGAACATAAGCCGAGCATTCCGGCCTGCGAATCTGGGCTGCGGTCCACAGCGCGCGCAACAGTGCGACGCGCCGCGCAGCGCCGGGCCGCACTGCTCCACAGCAAGCCCTTTGCATTCGAAAAGCTTCCAAAAGAAGCAGCTTGCATTCTTGGCACTGGCAGCTTGCTCGTCTGAGTAGCGTTATACACAATGCCAATAGCACGTTCCTGTGTGCATCCAGCACACATGTCTGCGGGCACGTCTTGTTTACAGAGCTGCCCCTTGCACCACTTTTTGAATTGCGCTGCCAGCTCGGTTTGCAATTTGTGCAGCCCCTCGACATCGCAACCTTCATCTAGTCTTACCAATGTCAGGAGCGGATAAGGTTGTCAGGCTTGGGCAATTCGCTTCCTCAAGGCTTCTGAAGAGAAAGGTAGGCCATCTGGCGGATAAATGCGCGATAATGAGATGGTACAAATCAAAGCAACTGGCAGAATCTGAGAAGCCGAAGAAACAAGCAGAGACCGGCGCAGGGAAACGACCTGAACTCAATCCGTGGTGAATGCTTTGGACGCAGCCCGGGCACACCCGGCATGCTCTTGTGACGTTGGAGAAGGTGCCATGTCCTACAATGGTCCTACGTCCTACAAGCGGTCCTACATCCTACAAGCCTCAACCCGATGTGTCGGGTTGAGAAAATTAATTAGCAACTGGGGAAATAGATTTAACACGAGTAAAGCTTCAAAAGACAAAGCGCTTTTCATTCGAAGCATTGAGCTGATCATTTTGCCGACAAAGGACAATGTATTCGAGACCGGGGGGATGGTTCCCCGTGAGTCAGCAAGTAAGCCTACGATGCCTAAGATGCCTAACCAAATGCTGGGGATGGCTCAGAGCCGAAAGGCGGAGTTTCCTGGCGCGGGCAGGCCCCGGCCCACAGTCACAAGAAAAAAGCTTGGGCCTATGTTTGAAGCGAGTCACCTCCCGCAATCGAAGCGCGCGTGCACCAATGACCTCAACCTCTCAAGGCCGGGGCTTTGCGGCTGCCATTGCGGGGCATGAAGCCTATCTTCAGATCTTCAGGGCCTGCTTAACAGGATGTAGATGGATGTAGGGTGAACGGCACGCACACGGGTCCTTCGTCCGGTACGCTTTGCCCACCGCCGATGGAAGGCTCGGGGAAGCTGGACCATGCAAGCAGGGCATGCGCACAAGGCTCGCTGCAACGCAAATACAGCGTGTGCTTCGTGTACTGTGAGGGTTTGCACCAAAGTGCCATAGCGGCTCGAACGGAATGCACGAAGTGGCCTCACAGCCCTCACAGCCCTTAGGGCCCACACAGCTCTTGTGGCCCGCACAGCCCTTGTGGCCTTTACGGCCCTGGCCCTCACCCTCTCACCCTCTCATGGCCTTGCCCCAGCTTTGCGGCTTAGCGTGCGTCACACCTCAAGGTGTCACACGGTGTCACACGGTGTCACACGGTGTCACACGGTGTCACACGGTGTCGCATTGGAAGGTGACTGCGTGGCCGTGGACTGGCAGGTGCCTCAACTCATCTCAGCTCCGCCGTCCTCTCAGGTCACTTCGACGGTGCCCGGACTCCGGGAACTCTCGAGGCTTGCAACGCCAATCC